GCTGGATGACGCTCGCAAAAGCCTCAGAAGACTTGACGACCCCGAGTGGCACAACTTGCTCCCTCCGGCCCGACTTGCCCCGGTCCCTATCTGCGACACATTTGCTCCTTACCGCCCGTTTCCCTCCAAGCTCAAGTTCTACCCTGGCATGGACTTCAATCTTCTGACGCAAGTCGGTGTTGCTCACCTTGGTGACAAAACAAACCACAAGATGTTTGCAGTCTCAGGTTACAAGCTTGAATCAGGCAGCAAGTATGACGGTCGCCCCAGATGGATTCTTCACAATGGCCCCAACAGCAGCGACCCTGCCCTAGCTATGATATCCGAGGTACCTGAGTGGGGAAACGATGATGGGGAGGGCGTCCTCACACTCCCGTCGACGCTGCCTTTGGGTAGAAGTAGCGTTCCGAGCGACACGAGCTTTGCGTCTGGAGACACAGAACTTATGTGGGCGTCGCAGAAACGCTCTATCCCCAAAACCCAAAGATATACTTTGATGATTCCGCTTCTGGAAAATGGCGAAATGAGAAGCAGCTGCTGTGGTTGGACGCGGTTGCCGGAAGAAGAATGGGGCGGGATTAACAAGGGCTTTTCTCTTCGAGTGATCCAAGGGAAGTATATCGAAGATCCCCTGTGTAGGATGCGAATGACGATCCCTCTCAAGCCTTGGAAGTCTCCTTTCACACTTGAGCTGACCGACAACAATGATCATGGAGACAAGTGGCCTGCAATGGCAATTATCTCAGCAATCAGAGCGTGGGAACTTCGAATCACTCTTTGGGGCCGTGCTGTTGGTTTTGGCCGTGAGATCGGTCGTGATACCGAACGAGCATTTTTCAACATGATATTGTAGATGGTGCAGCAGAGACCCAACGGTTCAGTTCGATCAAGATGTTACTGAAGCCTGACTTTTCCATCCTCCTTAGAGCTATAAGTCATCAAAGCAACGGCGTTCCTAGATCCAGAAGCACATAAGCCAATTGATTGAAATTCCTGATAATAAGATTTCACGCCCTCAACTTGAACGGTCATGGATTTCAATGCACCTGTATGTCTACCCTGATTGAGGGGTTGAAGTGGAGATACATAGGATGATCTTTTGTTGTCAAGCGAATTGTCATCATACCAGCTTCCGTCGTACCCCGAGACTATTTGAGGCTTTGACGATATTGACTGGCGGTTTATGTGAACACTTGTCAACCTCGCCATCAAATGTTGATGCAGTAAACTAATCATCTAGTCTCACATCTGCCAAGAGATGTCTGCTGTCAGTTGACAGAGACTTATCAGACAGACCTCGGGCTTAACGTGTCTTGGCCAAAATGCTTTCAGCCTTCTTGGCAACTTGGCATAGCTCGCACCTTCGCCGTGATCACGGCGAGCAATGACTCCTCCAAACTTGAGTTGCATCTCATGGCCTCGAACGTGATGTCATTTTCTCTTTCAACTTTCTGTGGGCCTGTGATTTTCGCCATCCACGATTGTCCCCATCCATCTTTTCCCACCTTCCACTTTTCAAGCTTGTTTCCCCGAGTCAAACCCACTCAATTACCTCATCTCCATCTTGAAACAAATATGTTTTCTTTCAAGGGGCCGACGCTAAAACCGAGATTTCCGCCGCTATTCCATATTTCGATCAGTTGTTCCTGGCTAGGAAAGGACCCGGGATCGGGGTCGCCCACACAAAGACGGCCCGAAGGATCCGCGATGCCCAGAGCCCGCCGACGCCTTCGAAGCCCCTTTCCCGTAGAGTTTCATCAACCTCGATGCGGCCGACTCGTACAATGGCAGCAAAATCATGCTATCCGACTCGCTGTTGATCGGCGCCATTGCCATCAACACACAAATCACCGTTGACGCGTGGACGTCACCTGAACGACCCCTCATCACCTGCACTAGCGTCATTTAGACCAACTGAGACAAAGCCAGCAGCTGAGAGACTAGATCCCCCGCTGCGTTAGCTAGCTTGATGATTCCAGGTCCCGACCAACAAAGGCAGCTCTTTGAGATCCAAATAAGGAATGGTCGCACTATGCAATGTTCTATATGGATTAATATTATGGCGCCACCTGAAATGCCGCTACCCGCAGCGTCAGCACCGCGAGCGCAAGAGTCCCTGATAGCGCAGTAAAGTCAGTCGAGGGCCCTTTCCTTTGACACTTCACATCACTAACGGGTGGAGAGGACGAAAATTCGGACTCACCGTTCACCAAACGCTTTGACTGGCAACCTGAGCTACGGGTTGACGGCCCACGTAACTGGGAGCGCTCAGAGTAATACGATGCCGTGCTCGGCTTTGTTGTGCCGAGAGACGCGACAAAGGGCACCTGTTGACTCAACTCCACTTGATCTACGTGATATCCGCGGAAGTTCAACCATAAACAATTGTTTATAAGGACTGCATTGATCCCGTCCATCGTAGGCTTTCTTCCTCTTCATCCCATCAGCTTCAATCTTTTACCGCCTCGGGCATTTCAATCTTTCAACCACACTCTCTTTACCATCACTCTTTGGTATTACGAGCCTCCCACAGGTTTTTTGCAATATTCTTAAAATGCTCTACCCTCTCGCTCTCGTTGCCCTTGCGGGTCTTAGCTCTGCTTCGCCCACTGTTCAACCCATCGACTTTGATGCCATCGTGGCTGCTGCCACCCCCTCGCTTGTTGGCCCTCCCGCCACTGCCACCGACCAAACCGGCGTCTACAACGCTGTAGCCGCCTCTTCGTCTGCTGCCGTTGCTGTTACTGGTGTTGCTTCTGCCAGTGCCACCGCCTCTGTCGTTGCCCGCAACCTTGAGGCTCTTGAGGCTCGCAGCCTTGAGAAGCGCACTTACTGCTTCCTCTGGTGGTGCTGGGGAACTCCTGCCGCCACTACCTCTGCCAAGGCTGCCACTTCCACGTCTTGCACTACCTCTACCACCGCCAAGGCTGTTGTCACCACCACTTCGGCCACTCCCGTGATTACGTCGGCCGCTTCGACCATCACCGTCCCCTCCAGCTGCACCCCCATCAGCTGGACCAACACCTTCGCGTTCACCACCGCGACTGGCTGCGCTGCTCCCTTTGAAGTCGGCACCTATTGCGGATTCATCAACCCTGAGGACCCTTGCGCCCCTCAGCCCGCTGGCAGCGGACCTCAGGTCCAGCCTGACACCGCCAGCGCCTTCCAGGCCTACGCTCCTTTCCATTCCATGGCCTCGAATGCTCCTACTCCCAGCGGATACGCCCAGACCTTCAAGGACCTTGGTGCCTCTGTCAACGCCAACAGCTACCTCGGCCTGCACACTCTCACCTCCTACGACGTTGCCCAGTGCGCTGCTTACTGCGACAAGACCGATCTTTGCACTGGTATCAACATCTACATTGAGCGTGACCCCTCTATCAACCCCGACAAGTGCTCTTGCCAGAACCCTTCGTCCATCACCAACTACAAGTGCACTCTCTGGGGATCTGGCGTTGACAGCGCTGCCGCCACCAACACTGGTCAGACCCGTGACAGCTTCCAGGTCGTCATCGCCGGCTCCAACGGCTACCAGAAGACGAACAACACCACCCCTACTACTCCTTCCGGCTGGACCAACCCCCAGAGCTGCGGTGGTGTTACTCACAGCCACCCCTCCACTTGCATTGGCCAGAAGTTCTTCCCTGGTCCCTTCGATGTCAGCCTTTGCGCCGCTTACGCTGCTTCTCAGAACACTGTCAACTACAAGTCTCTTGGTCTGTCCTCATGGGCTAGCTGGTTGGGTTACAGCCCCCTGAAGTGCAACTTCTTCAACGCCTTCATGATCAAGCAGAACGGTGTTGCCAAGGGTACCTACTGCAGTCTCTTCTCCCAGCAGTACAACCCCTCTGCTGCCTCATACAGCCCTGGTGTGTCTGGAAGCATCAGCTGGAGCGTCGAGAGCAGCTGGAGCTTCTGCTCTGCTTAAGAGCTTTCTGTCTTTCAATATTTTTATCTCTCGTCGAGCATGACAAGAAACATCGGCGACTTATTGTTTAATGGTTTATCTTTGTCATTTGTTATAGACTTTGCCGCGACCAAAATAGACGTTCTTTACCTGATTTAAATCCATTGCATCAAACCTTAACCGCGTCTTCCGCTGGTGAGTTACGAAATAGCCTTCTTAGCTCAATAGGGAGGCACACGAATTTTGTCAAGGTCTGGCGCGTCCACCCATACATCCTCGAAATTATAACAGTGTTCTTCCCAGGTGACAAACTGTAGTGCAAGGTACTGTCACACGCAGTGTCGGTACCGTTACTCCCTGTAGGCAGGAAAACAATGATCTGCTCATTGCCATTACAAGTGACCGCCGCATACCGCTGTTGAGCTCCACCAACAGCATGCGTCAACACGATCGTCACTTTCCTTGGTGATCGTGCGTCCAACCCCGAAAACTCAACGCTTCCCAGGTTAGTCACCGACGTTCCGTTACTACACCTAATGCAGCTTCTGTCTAAGGCACCGTCTGCAAGCTGAGCCTTATCGGCCTCATATTCGCCGTACTCCGGGGCTTCTGTCCAACTTCCTGTTTTGACATCACCTATCCAACTATCTCTCCACTTCAGGGAGACATTGGTCTCTTTGATCTCGAGTGGTAGCCAGACGTATGTACTGCACAGCAAATTGTTGCTTTGCCACCGGTCGCCCATGTAAATTAACTCATCATTTCCCAGAGGAAGGATGAAAGTGGTTTGGCTCGAAAAGGTCCCTGATCCCACGGGGGCAAACAGCTCCCAAGCAGACCATGGCCCAATCAGAGACTTGGAGTACCTGTAAAGCTGCGGCTGCTGTGAGCTAGGCTTCTGCAAAGCGGTGAAGCACCTACGTTGTCATTTGCCTTCCGACCGGACAGAGTACTACCGAACATAAAGTAGTACCCTTATGATGGCTAAGAGCCGGAGACTCTACATTGTTAACTCCCCAAAGGTGCACGGTCTCAGTGACGTTCAGATAATCAGATAAAGCTTCACAATACGAGATGTATTCGGTCGCTGCGGCTATTCTGAATGTGACGTGGCATTGACAATATTGCAGCCCTTCCTCGGGCCCGCTGCCGAGTGAAGTGCTTTTCTGAAAATCTCCAGCAAACGGTCTGTGTCTTCCATCCCCACGCTGAACCACATGAGGTATGGGTCTACACCTAAACTGGATGCCCATTCTAGCTCCTTCATGTGAGCAAGAAAGACATACGGTGATGTCAATGTGAAGTTCGTACCCAGTCTAGGCCCCTTCGCTCCATCCATGTCGTCGTAAAAGGTGATGGCATCTTGCTTGCGATAAAACACCACGGACATTAGGCCCCCGTACCTACCAACAGGCGTTCTACGGGCCTCATAATTCGATTTGTCGCTGTTGTACTTTGGATAATACACCCTCTTGATCAACGGACTGGCCAGCAGCACTTTGGCAGCAGCCTCCGCGTTGATGTTCATCTGACGAATGCGTATAGTAAAGTCGCGACTGTTCCTTTCCATCAAGATGACGTCCTCCGGCCAGTATGTGTCTTTGTACTCTCGCTCCGCGATCGCTTTTAGACTTGAATAGTAACGGCCTGTTGGATTGAAGACTGCAGAATCTCCAGTGACATTGCATGCGCCAGAAAAGAATTTGGTGAGGGAAGTGACCAGCACGTCCGCATGTTGAAAAACGTTGACGTTGGCCAAAGTTCCAATCGTTTCATCCATCACTATGGCGAAGTCGTATTTATCCGCGAGCGATCGAATTGAGGTTCGGACATGTGAGCAACGGATTTCCAGGAAACTCGCAAAAGAGGGCCAAATATCGTTCCCCACGCTCAAGCCGATGCTGCATATCGTCCAGCTCGATCTCGGTAGCGTTGCCGTAGAAGACATACCCGGGACCAAATTTCTCAAGTATCTTCAACGTATCCACATAGGGGAATCCGAAGCTAATGCTCTTCCTGTTCCCACGTGAGGAGGAACTGGTGGGTGTGGAATATGGCACTCATTCCGGTCGGGAAGACGTAGACGTCGTCGGTCAAGTCATGAGTACTGGAGCTGCGTGGCCCTATTTCGATCGAAGTCCCGCTGTCCGCAGGTGCATTGAGATGATGCCTCATCATACTGGCAATGCGTTGTTGAAGTACTTCTTTGGCTTTTTTGGAATCGCTCAGGAGGATCCTGACTTCCTGACCAAAACCCTTTTTCGCACAAGGCATGGGTTCTTGCCACATGATACCTCGTAATGGTTCGCTGATTCCCGATTCTGAAGAAGACAAAATCTGTTTCTTCGATTCTGGGGGATGATAGAGCGGGGGATCATGGCTGTTCATCTGTTTCGTCGACTGGGCGCGATGTTCTGGTACAAGTAGAGCCCGCTGGAGGAGACAATGGCAGAAATCCGCTCGTCTACTAGAAACACCGAGTCCACTATGCTGCCAAAACTGTTTTCCATACTTGAAAGCGTCCGGGTGAAATATGACAGCCGATAGGCGAAAGCGGTTTCCAGTAAACAGCACCCGGATTGGAGTCGTCGACGACTAAAGCGACGGTCTCAATACCAACAAGGGCAGGGGCTGGAGCATGAGCGTGCAGGAATCCTACACACAGCTGGGCAGCATATTCGTTGGGAAATAGCATGGCTCGTTATCCTGGTGTAAGGCTGAAGTTTGAAGCAACAGTCTGAGCGAAGGATTCTATGCTTCTGTGGATGAAGAATCTCGGGTACCCTGTGAGCATGTTATCGACGACCCATCTCTCCCCCGTCGCCCAGCCGACATTTGACTCCCATGTCGGTAGAGAAACGCTCACGGCCTGGAGAAGTAGAAATGGTCAGAAAATGCAACCTGACAGGTTTGATAGGCGTAACGGGAACTGACATGGTCTGTATGAGGGGGAATCGACTCTCCCAAAGGCAAGGTCCCATTGCTTACGCGTTGAAAAAGGTTGTCGAGACTCGAACATCATACAAAGCAGGATTTGCAACAGCCCGGGGAAACATCGCCCTTTTTAAACAGCTGAGTCCACCCCAGGTAAGACAGCCAAGGATCGCACCAAAAGCGGACAGCAAGAATTCCAACTCCTCATGGTTCTGGTGACCCTTTGGTTTCACTAACGCCACAAGTGGGGATACGAGGTGTTATGGTCACCAAAATGTTTAATGAAACTCTCCGGTGAGACTAAAATGGATGGAGTGGTGGGGAGAGACTCTACTGAATTATTCTGGTGAACGAAGCTATTGGCGAACGTCCACTTGGGGAAGGCATCATGCTTTATTTACTACGACGATGGGTAGTTCTGCGAAATCTGGAAACGTTTGCGGGGAAGCGGAACGAATTGGCCGGAAGATTGCTCCGAGACACAACATGCGGCTGTGAGACAACAACGGGATGACGGCAAGCGGATGCGAGATGACGCGTAGCCGAATGGCGCGTAGCCAGGGGATACCGCAAGAAATTGGAAAACAACGACCATTCTGTTCCGTTAATATGGCATGACTCTAGACCAAGACCGACATGTTGTGAGGTTACTGGAATGGACATTGTTGGAGCTCATCCCGTCGAGTGCTGAATAACGGAAGCCCATAGAGTATCCATGTGTTCTCCGATTTGAGCCTTATTTAGATTTTTGATTTGTTTAGAAAAGTTGTCGATTGTTTGGAGCCACATCTGATTAGCTGTGCCTCGCACACTTGTGTAATTACTGGCGTCATGCAGCACTCGATGGGATATGCACTCGACTTAGGTTCACCCACGCTTCAGGCTTGTTCAGCCGATGGATACACATTGAAGAAGTCGATATGAGATTTACTTAGTCGTGAAAGTCTTTTGAAACTGGTCGTTAGCTTATCATGTTGCATGATATGTCTTTTGGAGGGCCGTACCAAAAGAGGCTCGGGATTGACGATGGCCTGACAAGTCGTCTTGGACTATGGAGAGATCCATTCGTGCTCAGATTCCCCTCCAGTGATGGTTCAACTCGAGGGATTCATCAATCTTACGGGCAATCAGGCTGGGAGAATTGTGTGTCGGGATTGCGGTGGAGGTCGTAAGCATGCAGGCTATCTTGGTATCACCCAGATGGAGCCTAATCGAGCCTGCATTTCAATCAGGCTGCAGGAAGCACCCAGCCTATTGGTCTAAAAGTGCACATTTTATACGATTGTTTGCATGTGGCTGTGCTAGAGGTATGTCAGACGACATGGTAGGACGATTTTACGCTGAGTATATATGTGACCCTCGCCAGAGAGGACATGAAATCCCTAAATTGGAGCCTAGATCATTAATTCGCCATGTCTCAACGAAACTGGACAGAAAGACTCTCTGGATACGAACCTGCTCGTGTCTCCGATGTCGAGGACGAACCTCCACGACCGGATACTGTCGAAAACAAACGCTACAATGTTTTCAGTTGCAGCGAATGGTTTTTGGAGATTGTCACGTCTATCGGGAGCCTGGTCATTCTTGCAACCGTGGCTTTCATCTTCACGAGAGTGAATGGTCGGCCTCTTTCAGACTGGACCTTCCCAAATTCTCTGAGCGCGGTGATCTCGATACTGACGACTGCTTGTTCAGCGGCTATAATGCATGGCGTCAGCACATTCATTAGCCAGCTGAAGTGGCTTCATTTCAAAAATGGACCTCAGAGGTTGGAACACCTGGAAACGTTCGATGAAGCCAGCTGTGGTCCTCTGGGCTCTCTCAAGTTCCTGGTCTCGATGAAATTGAACCTGGCAACTATCGGAGCCTTGGTCACGATTTGCCGTCTTGGTCTGTCACCATTAGCTCAACAAGTGGTCAAAATTGATGAATGATTCGTCAACACTACCGATGATACCGTCACATTTGGATATGCTCACGCGTACGATCATGGTGTGGGCAGAGAACTCTCCAACACTGACACTCGTAAGTATGTTTTTAAATGTCTAGAGGATCCGTGCAATCTGTTGCCCAACAGTATTCACTTATCAAGGCGGCATCCCGCAAGACCCCAACATGCAAGCAGCCATACTCCAGGGTTTATTCAACATAAGCACACCCTCGACATTCAGCTGTCCTGGCGCTTGTAGATGGAAGGGATCTTATGTATCATTGGGTTTTGCAACTAATTGCAGAAATGTCACTCAGGAGACCTTACAATCAAGAATCTGCGTGGAGGAAAAGGCCACCGAGCATTGCAACATGACTACAACAGGGAATATAAGCCTCTCGACGCAGCATGTCTTTACCGACTCAGGTACTAGCTACCAAGTGAATGTGTCGCTGTTGACGAACCCCAGATTATTCGACTTACCAGACACATTTCCAGAGTTTGCCCGGTTCGCCCTGTATCGAGCAACCCCCAATTATAACTTCAAGCCTGTCAACGACAACATCACGGAATGTTCTCTTTCCCTTGCTGCGTATAAGTACACAGATGCACAGTCAAACGGAACGAGCTTCGCCTTCCAGAACGCGCAAAAGATTGATTTGGGCGGCAGAGAGTCATGGGGCGTCAGTGGCACTTTCTACGAAGATCAGTTGTTCACCAACGAGTCTACGGCCGACCATTTGCCCAAATTCACATTATCTTGGGCCGATTTCAAAGCGTTGCAAAATTTCTTCGAATCTGGGTCCATTATCACCGAGTGGGTCGACGGAAACTATGAGAACAAAGAGCTTGGCGTGAGTGCTGCTTTGGCTGGTGATGTAGATGTTGGCAAGCGATTTGAGCAGATGGCAGTCAGTATGACGGATTATCTGCGCTCAGGTCCGAACATGCAGTTGGCACTGGGAGAGAGAATTGATAACGTACCCTTTGTGTCAATTCGGTGGTGGTTCTTCGTCGACCCTGCCGCGATTGAAGCTTTTGCCTTGTTGTTCGCCGTGTTGACCATTTTCAGCAACCGGAAAAACAGCAGGGTCCCTCTCTGGAAATCCTCTGCTCTTGCCGTCTTGGCATGCGAGCATGAGAAGAAGGCAGAATTGCTCATAACTACCGCCAAGGACATCAAGGAGATGGGAAAATCGGCGGAAACATCTTTCGTGAAGCTGGAGTAGTACTGAGTGATATGCGACCTTGCTGTTATGATCGAGGGATGACACGACATAGCTTTTGGTCGTCATCCGGTGCCGAAGTGGCGTGGAAGTGGATGACTGGAGAAATGCACAGGTCGTGGATGGCAGTAGCGGTGATGGCGGCCACTTCCTGCCGGAAGTCACCGAAATTCGTACTTGAACAAAGACATCCATTGCTAGTTTCGCCACATCACTTAGTGATCTCAGTTGAACGGCTCATTGATCGCTCTTCGGGTCAAATCGCCTTCTGCTGTACTTACTGGTTGACGCGATCTCATTGGCTCCGGGAGAAGCCGGGTGCGCTTGAGGGTCCGTGCAGATAATTTCAACTTCGCGTCGTGTTCGATTATTTTCACACCTACAAACCATCCCGCCTCCATTCACACTCACGAACTTATGAACGGACGTCTGCTCAGGTGCTGTTCCCTCCGCGCCGGGGCCTACTCTGCATTCGCTTGCCAGACATCTAGACCGCTGCTGCGGCGCCTGTCAACGTCGCCTCAAACAAGCTCGACTGTGGAGCATCATCAAAATCACCAGATGGAAGCGGACACTCCTCCGATCGCCAGCCTCGACATCAAGCTGGATGCCAACAGTGTCCTTGAACCAGATGAAAATGACGATCTTGATCCGGCCCTAGAGAAGCCTGAACTGCCTCCGCTGCCTCCGCCACCACCGGCGAAGGCACCGAAGGGGTCCCCACTCGAATGGCTATATTTCCCGACGAGAGGTCTCGCAGGCACAATCACACTTGACGAGATTTTGCCGTCCACTGTTCCGATCACCACCACTCGCGGCTTTGAGACTCTGTGTTCTTATAATTGGGTGGACACCAAAGATCCTACCATCATTGTTCCAGGCAAGTGGATCCGGGTCAACCCGACGGACATCTACCCGCCTGAGTCCCCTCACGTCTCAGTGACAAATAGCTGACTTTTTGCAGGCGGTGCTGCCAAATTTAATAGCCCTGTCTTACCGGTTAGGCTCAAGCGGGATATCGGTTACACGTTTTGTGATCTCAATCGGGCCAAGGCTCCCCGGCAGCCATTCAAGGGATTATTCACTGCCCTGGCCGTGATGTCTCCAAATACGAAGCTTGACGACGTTGACGTGATCTTGACCCGTGGTGCTTTTCAAACTCTGCACAAGTTCGTCAAGAGTGGATGCTCAACTGCATTCATCCTACAGATGAACGTCATCAACAAAACTCTGATTCTCACATACAGAGAGGAAAAGAACAAGCGAGCCAGCAGCAGGAAAAGCCCCAGCTGGGGCCACGCGTTCGAAGAGGGTTTCACTGCATACGATGACGATCTCAAGGAAAGCCTCGCCCATCACAGAGCCATCAAATATCAGTTTGGCAGCCTCAAAGTTGCAGTTCTTCATGAGGTAGATGCCTCATACTCTGGATCATTCGGATCGCCAGGGCCCGCGGAATCTGCCGAAAGGAAGGCAAAGTATTTGGCAAAGAGGAGCGGGGCCACCAATCTTGGACATCTGGTGAAGTCAAATCAAGATGTGGCAGTAAGACTCTTTGGGACTGGGACAGCAGCCGAGAACGTTGCGGAGATGAAAGCGACGCAGAAGCCTTTGGCGTTGAGTGGTGTCCCCAACGAGGCAAAGACCCAGTGTTGGTTTGGTCGGACCGGGACTCTCATATTTGGCATACATGAGAACGGCATCTTCAAAAAACATTCCGTCAAGCAGTTCGAGTTTGAGCCCTGGTGCCAGAACGCACAGGAACCCTTGCAGAAAGTCGTCTCCCTTTTCGAAAAGCTCCGCGAGCAGACCCGCCGCATCGGCAACTGCGGTGTAGCGATTCTCAACCCCAAAAGCTCCAGAACGCGACTGGAAATTTGGACGCCTATTCGAGCAATTGTCTTCAATCCAGTTTCACACGACAGTTTTCACAGGCATTGGACTTTCCAAAACGATTCCACAAATTATGGTTTTGCGCAACCTAAGGACCGTCGGAGAAAACATGAGTTGGGGGGGGGGCCGGCAGGCATAATTTGCTAAGATGATCATTGAGGTTGCGGCGATGGCGTTGGGCGGAAGGACATGTCGGGGAAAGTATTACAGCGACACCTTATTCTGGCCGGGTTTTGTTAGTGGAAAGATGCATTTGACGAACCTTGGTTTCTCTGCAGCTGGTTCCGGTGCCGAAGGAAATCCCCACAATGGCTTTCGGCGCCGAGTTGATGTAACCTTCATGTACCGACCATGAAACCAAGCGGGACCAGGCTCGACTTTCAGCCCGAAGAAAGCAGCCAGGATGTGGTTGATCGGTCAGTCTTGGTCGGCAACCTGCACAGTGATACGTTTAGAACGGCAAACGGCAATTGAGTTCATCCCGTACGTGTGGGGACGAGGTTCTTCACGGCCACACCATATAAGAAGTGTGCGAGTATCGAGACCGCTCTCCTTGTTTCCTAAACCGCCTCACCATCACCAGCCCGAATATTTCCCCTGACATCATTTTGATAACTTCCTTATCTATGAGTTTCAAGGCGACTGATGTCCTCATTGTTGGGGCTGGGCCCGTCGGCCTGGTGACGGCACTTGGTCTCGCGCAACAAGGCATCGACACAGTTATCATTGGTTAGCTATCCGGACTTGCCATCACGTTAGCCGATTCTAACATTTGTGTAAAGAAAAGCGGGAGCTGGAGGTTCAGGAATCCTTCGGCCGAGCCATCACTCTCTTCCCCCGCACCCTCGAGCTCTTGGAGCAGGTGGGCGTGGCTGAAGACATGGTTCAAGCGGGCAACGTCGCACGGGGAATCGCCACCTACCAGGAAGGCAAGAGAACGCCGGCCGTGGGCCAGCAGACGATGTTCACCGCCATGAACGGAACGTTCCACAACTACATTCTCAACATCCGGCAGAAGAACTCCCAAGCGATCTTCGCCGCCAAGTACAAGGCTGTTTCGGGAAACGACGTCCAGTACCAATGGGAACTCGTCGACTACCAAATTGACCAAGCGCCTCAGGATGGCTACAACATTACAGCCGTCCTGCAACATCCTCAGCACGGAACGCGCGCGGTTAGATGGTATCTCTCCCTTGATTACATGCTTCAATACCGTGGAAACGGCTAATGTTTGGAAGCAAATACCTGGTCGGCGCCGACGGTGTTCAGTCGCAGGTCCGACAACTTGCAAAAATTGAAATGATTGGGGACGAGACGGCATACGAATGGGTCCGCTTCGATGGCCGTATCAAGACCGATGTTCCTGACACCGAACTTGGTTTCGTGACGATCCAAAGTGCCGAGTATGGCAACGTCTTCTTGGCCAGGATCGACAAGGATGCGTTCCGCATTGGATACGTATTCACCCCGACACTGAAAGCCAAGTATCCCGACGGTCTTACCAAGGAAAAGGCTCTCGAGGAGGGGCTCAAATCCTTCCACCCCTTCAAGGTGGAGTTTGAGCGGCTCGACTGGTGGACCATCTACACGTAAGTAGACTGTGTTTTTGAAAACCAGGGATTTCATCTGACAGTCGAATCAGTATCAGGCAAAAGGTAGCCGAGACCATGAGCAAGGATGAATTCGTGTTTCTTGCTGGTGACGCCGCCCACACACACTCTTCTGGCTTCGGTCAGGGCATGAACACCGGAGTCCACGATGCCATCAACCTTTCTTGGAAGCTCGCTGGAGTCATCAGGGGATGGTACCAATCAGGAGTCCTCGACACCTATTCCGAGGAGCGCCGTGCTGTCGCTCAGAAGGTCATTGACATTGACAAGACTCTGGCAGCGGTAATGTCTGGCGACCTTCCTGAGACATGGAACGGATGCAGCGGCAAGCCTGAGCACAGCAAAGTTCTGGGCGACTTGCTCACATCGAACGCCAATTTCAACATTGGCTTCGGCGTCAGCTATGGACCCTCCATCATCGTCGACAAGGCCTGCACCGGCAGTCTGGCCGTGGGTTACCGCACCCCTGACGTGCTACTCAAGTCGCCTGGTGCTTGCACTCCCATCCGCCTGCAAAGCATCATCCACAAGAACACTGGGAAGTGGAACCTGCTCATCTTCGCTGGTCGCCCGTTCCAACAGAGAGAAAAGCTAGCTGCTCTTCGTGAGGCGCTGAAGTCTACCACTTCTCTCACCAAACACGCTCAGACGTTGAGCTTCACGACCATCGTGTCCGGTACTATTTCCAACACATGGGACGTTTTCGACGGGCTTCCCCCGAACTTCGTCTACTGCGACGTTGACGGCCAAGGACACAACAGCTATGGAATGTCGGCCACAAGCGGCGGGCTTGTAGTACTTCGCCCAGATGGCTTCTTGGCTGCTACTTACCCGATCGAAGATGTCCAGGAAGTCGCTGCTTTCTTGGACGGTTTCTGTTCTGACAACACCAAAGCACTCCCCATCGTTTGAAAACATGTACCTAGACCTTTGAATTTGTTAGACCCATTATAGACTTCTGCAGTTCCGGAACTCGATCATTTCTAGATTCGAGAGTTGATTCTCTAAATTTGCGCATTAGAAATTATTCAAACACACATCAGGACGGCCAGGGATTTTGATAGTTATGTGATTCAAATTGAGCCAGGTCTTGTAGACGCCGGTCTTAATTTGCTGGCTAGTTCGCTAGTTGAATGTACCAGAGATCGCAGACTACAACCAGTGGCTGTAACGAAGCCCATCTGCAAATTCCAAACAGAACAGTCTCAATTCTTCAAGCATCATTCTCAACAACGTCACAAGCCTGTCCTCTGTCGCCGCTCGATCTTAGATTATCGAGGAACTCAATCCCAAGAAAATCGCCAAACCACGACTCCATTTGATCAGACATCTCTTCAAAACCATGGTCAACTGCGGCTCCGACTTGGTCGGCGGACTCATTTGGTTCCATGCCTGTACGAACAGTGTTCCTGTTTTGCCTGTCTTCATTTGCCGATAGGTTCAGATCTACGCGATCCAAAGCCCACTCAAAGATAGACAAAACCCTCTTTATGACCGGTGAGTCCTGGAGTTGCTGTAGAATCAGCATTCCTTGACGAATATAAATGAGCGACATTGATCTGTTTGCGTTGGACTCCGCATCGTCCAGAGCAGCTTCTATATGTAGTGCAAGAGCTATTGGAATATTGGAATTGCTTCCAAGTCAATCGTCAGCCTATTCTCTCAATCCATAGGGCGTCACCAGGGGGCCTACAATGACATTGGGAGGTTTTTGAGTTGGTCGTTGGCAAGTGCTCTCCCAAATAGCGTGTCAAGCTCGAACATCGAAGATCGAAGCCGTGCTCGCGCCCAGGCATGTCGGGCAGCATCTCCAGTCTTCCAACAAAGTTTGAGGGTTCTATACAGGATACACTCCAGTCGATAGCTCGCTGCAAGAAGGGACGTAAGGTAAGGGCTGTCGACTAGCTGATTATCTGCGTTAGTTGCTTCTCGGAGCTGACTCCGCCAAGCGTGGAATTCGCGAGCCATGGCTTCACCGTCAACGCTACCAGCGTCAGATATTCCTACAAGAGATCTAGACCCTAAACTCATCAAATCATCAAGTCAGACACCTGTTCAGTACGTGCGTTGCCATCCTGAACCGTACCTAGGACAGACAACTTGCAGTACTCAATAAAATGGCATTTTTGTGCAGCGGTGACCTTGGAAGCGAAAGACGTTTTCGTGCTGTTGCCCTCAGTCTCCCAGTCTTCTTCGGTTGGCAAGGTTTGTGGCTTCGTCTTGTCGCTGACTAGGGGCATGCTTTGCATGCCCAGGAATGACAATAACACATCTCGACACTACAAGGAAAAGTCAGTTTCAATAAGAGATGGCTCAATAGAAAGTGCACTCGGGACAGTCAACTTACGTAGATAACCCACCAAATTCGTTTGTACAAGCCACGAAGTTGGACGTCCGGGATGCGTAGCTGATCACTAAAGTTCGCATCCGTAATCAGCTCCGACTTCAGGTCTGCCGTGGAAGATTCACAAGTACTCACAGCTTTTGCAGTTCCAGCTTTGTGGCAAGCCGGACGGCGTTGAAGAACCAGTAGTGAACGTCTCGGTCAATTGGGTAAAAGAATGCAGTTGTACCCAATATTAGGGATCCTTGAAGCAGACACAATTGGCTCTTCTCACATTGGAAGTCGTGTAGTAGTAGGGCCTTGTTGAAGAAGGCTGTTTGCGCCTCTGTGATATTGGAGTATCCACATAACGTAAGTACATCAGGTGATACGTAAAGAGTAGCACTTGTCAAAACCGTCTGCATGAGAAATGGGGAATAGGAGCCGGCGTCATAGCTGCTTAAAAAAAAGATTTTTATCCAGAACGGGCGAATATGGATGAACAAACTCAAAATACGCGGTCAGAAAGGCCATTCTTAATTGCTCATGTCAGTTCTATACACCCATCCTGAAAATAAAATCGGTATCACTTACAGGCTGTCCCGATACGGTAACACAAAGGCACCTTTCTTCATCAGGAACTCCAGATCCACTGGATCCAAACCAGATATACCTATCTGCGGGTTATGGGGATAGTGCGGGGTACTATTGGCCGAACTTGTGGCAGGAGATCCAAGCCTAACACTTTCGTTTCTCTCATTGCCGCTCATCGCTGTTTTGAGTATACTGAGATAGTGAACTCTGCCGTTATACTCTGCCTGCGCCTGGGGAAGTTCATCAATGTTTTGTACCCTTTGGGGCGAGCGACCTGAGACAGCAGAACTCGTCGTTCTCTCAAGTTCCCTAAGTCCATGGATCCCGTCAATTGGCCGGACTGAAGGGCGCGGACTGTCATTTGGGAGACTTGTATCGCTCACGGAAACATGACTTGATGCCAATAGTGCGGGCGGTTGGGCCTCGGAATCCTTCTTCAGTCAGCCTTTCAGTCTCAATACGTACTGTAAGGTATGTGGAATCAAGGCTGCACAAAAGCACACGATGAAGATAAGGTAAGTCTCACATTTGGATTACAATGTTCCTCTTGTGTTAACACATCGGCTCTTCGCCTCCTTGATGATTACCGTCAGCGGGCTGATCCGGATGTCATCCATCCCGTATCCACCTACCTCTTGCGTTGTTGACGAGACACCAGTTTGCAGTTCTCCGGATATCCTTTGCTGACACATCGGCCACATGGTATTCCAGAAACAGGCGCATCGCATTTGACCTTGCGCGAGTGGCACTCAATGCACGCCTTGCTAAGCCTCGCCGCGGCTGCTCCAACATCGGCGGCGGTCGTCATCTGTGATCTGTGATCCACTCCGCTTCGGAGCAATCCGCTGCCAAGAGACTTCGTTGTCGGATCCGTGAACTGGCGGCTTTTCGGCAAAGGGAAGATGATGATGGGGAGTAGAACAATCGTTGAGTACACAGGCTGGCTGGGAGAAAGGAACTCATCAATGATTTCGGCGCCGAAAGAAGACCCACTGTTCGGCAATACGGCTTTTCGGCATTTACAGACTTTCCGGAGGGACCAGGGTCCGTGACTCGTTTGGTGAGCGGATCAAACTCATTTTGAGTATCTACTGCAGGAGGTTGCTATTCAACTGAGATTCGTTGTGTTCTACCGTCGATGTGGTTTCAATATGTGCCTAGGACATACCAAGAAAACGGAGTCAAAATTCATAGAGCCCGGGATCCATCAGGCATTCATCCGTACAGCCACCATGCGGCTCCAGCAACGGCAACAGATCCCATGATCAACCCCATCTTCTTGCCCAATCCTTTCAATCCGTTGATGGCGATAATCTTCACCTTCTCATCTAGCCACGCCTTCTCATTCAGGTGCGGGAAAGGGACCTCAGGGACATCCTTGCCCAAGAACTCGCAAAGCGGGCCCCACCCATCCGCCAGATCGAACTCCAGCAACCTCTCCTTCGGCGTGACCCTCCTCAACATCTCATAGTGCTCGCAATACTTCTGTCTCGCTTTCGCCTCGGCGTCTTTGACATTCCAGATATCTAGCCACCCACCGGTAACGCTCCTGTGAATCTTGCCAATGGGATGGACGTAGAACCGGTCAAGCTGATACACCAGACTAATGAACGGGTCAAACATGTTCGCAATGACACCCTGCATGTAACTCTTATGCCAACTCTCGACCTCCCTCTCGACAAGCACGACCTTAGCCTCGGGATACGCCGCAATAAGCTCCTCCGCAAACGCGACCGCCGGCGTGTCCGACGACACGGCGCCGTACGAGTGCAGCAGCTGGTCAAACTCGTCCCGCCCGACCGGCTCGCCGGCGCCGAAGAACTTGCGGTCGACGGCCTCCTGCCACATCTCAATGTCGGCGAAGTTGGTCGACATGAAGACTGTCGAGTGCCAGCAGGGGATCCCCAGCTTCTCAAGCGCGGCGCACATTGCTGTTTTTTTGCGGCTGAGGTTAGAGTTTCGGCAGGCGCCTGAGTGTGGTTCGGCTGGGCCTTACATGACGTGCCTGTTCGGGGGAAGCCCAGGCACAGGACCTGCATCGGCACGGTTCTCTTCTTCCCGCGCGGGGACTCGGTGCTGACCGGGCGGAAGAGCTCCGGGTGTCGTTCTTCTACGGTTGCCATGGCGGGCTGGCGTTGTTAGGGGATGATAGTGGCCGTTTCTATGTCGTCAAAATTAGAATAGTGATCGTCACAACGAGGCACTCTGGCAAGATTTTTGAATCATCCGCCGTAAGACCGTCAATTGTGATGTCCCAACCCCCTCTACTGTTAATGTGCTTACGTGAGACTTGATGTCCAAGACATGGTGGCGCTGAAGGAAGAGCTTTGGTCGAAAAAGGCCAGGGGAGATCTTATCGATTAGATTTCAATGTCTGGATTCACACTTCATCACGCAGTCGTGTTCACCACAAAAGATGGAACTATAGTATGTAACCTCATGTTTCCCCATCTGAGGATCTTGCAGGGTACGGCATGCTGATTTGGGAATGCATGCATCCCGGCATGGACCCGACTCTATGGTTAAAGTAGAAAATGGCGGGGCATGGCGTTCGTTGGCGATGCGTGTCGGGAGAACACACATAAGGTCCATAACAGTCGCGGAGATTTTGAAGACGATAAATGCAAGAAGTTCGGACCGTCGCCTGGTCCCATCTGAAATCCATACCCCATGCATCATTGGAGTTTAAGGGGTACACGGGATGATTTATTTAAAGACGAACACCTCGCGACCAGGAAGCTCAGAGCGAAAGCCGAGCGGCTCAGTCAAGACAAGCTCCCTGTTGTGCCACCCGAACGACCGACCCCGAAGGCGCGCATGGATGGATCACAGTTTGTCAGCTCGTCTGGTATTCGGCCCACCGTGGAAATCAGAATCCCATAATGTTGTTTAAATGCCGATTCGCGGGGGAGCTATCGCAGGAACACCGGTCGCTATACCGGGACGCAACATCACACATGGCTTCACTGCTTCGGCTGCCATTGCCCAATGTCAT